TGTGGTACGTCTGTGCTTGCGTCCATCATCAGATTTCAACACCCCACTGTTTTCAACTGTCGATGTGAGATGCCTTAGCTGACATTATGTCACACAGTTTAATGGTTGATCACAGTTAGCAAACTTTCAGTCAGTAATATCGTTTCCACTGCCGTTCAGTGCATTTGGCCTGCTCATATGCATCGCTTCTAGTTAACTGAAGCACTGCAGCGTGTGTGTGCTCTATCCAGAGACAGCAGATCTCCAAGTTACATTTGTGGTTAGGCGCAACACGTATATCGATGTACGTAGAGACTACCGTGTGTGCTATAGGTAGATAGTTGCCATACGTCAATAAATACGCTTGACTACTATAACGGTTTGTCGTAGTCTACGTACCATTCATCTGTGACATGTGTCATTCTATTAATAGAAACCCCTGGCGGCGTGGTTGGGTCCTGTCATGGATCCACAGCAGAGTGTGGTGTATCTCAACACGGACTGTGCCATCCTGCACGAGCACAAGTATGTTATCTGTCGTTATATGTTGTACTCTGGTGTGTATGAGCACAAGTATGCCATCTGTCGTGATATGTTGTACTCTGATGAGTATGAGCACAAGTATGTTATCTGTCATAATCTGTTGTACTCTGGTGTGTATGAGCACAAGTATGCCATCTGTCGTGTTATGTTGTACTTTGATGGGTATGAGCACAAGTATGCTATCTGTCGTAATATGTTGTATTCTGGTGTGTATGAGTACAAGGAAGTCATCTGTCGTGATATGTTGTACTCTGATGTGTATGAGTACAAGTATGTTATCTGTCGTGATTCTGGTGTGTATGAGCACAAGTATGCCATCTGTCGTATTATGTTGTACTCTGGTATTTAATTTGTCGTGATATGTTGTACTCTGATGTGTATGCGCACAAGTATGTTATTTAACGTGATGTGTTGTACTCTGGTGTGTATGCCTGATGCGGAAGCGGAAGTGAGTGTATATAGGCACACAGTGAATTTTCGTGCCGAGTGACCTATAATATGATTCGACTCTGGTGTGTAGGTATTATTAGATGTATGCGTCAGTGCTATTATTGGATGTACACGCCAGCGAGTTCCAATGAAATTGAACACTTCTGCAAGATCGTGTGCGCAGCAGCAGGCATTGAATAGTATAGACAAAAGCTCCGATACTTTGCTTATAATCGACCACTGGAACAGCAGGCCAATATAGCTACCTGTGCGAACTACTCCTATGTATATATATGTAGATATATATAAGTATCATTTATCAATCTTTGCTCGATGAGTCAGAACACCTCACTATACCTGCTATGACCAATATCTGATATGTCCTATAATTGATATGGCTGTTGTGTCTATCGATTGTTGATTAGCCATAGCTCAACTCTTGCATGCCACATACCCTTCACATCAGCACTCGTGTTTTACTTTGTTCTGCTTGTGCCTTCGTTGCAGCCGTTGCTGGCATCATCGAAAGACCAGTCAATTCCGTGATAACTGAATCACCGACGACTCAGGGGACTGGGGATGTAGGTAAACATGGACAATACATACAGAGCATCTCATTACTCATCGATACCTTATCGCACCACAGACAGGCAGACGGCATCTGGAACATCCATGAAGTGGACATCTGCCGTCTCATACTCAAAGGCCTCTCCGCAGTATGTGTTGTTTACCTACCCCTCCGCTCGGTGTGCAAATGGGGTTGTACTTCTGCAAATGGGGTTGCACTTCTGCAAAGGGGGTTGTACTTCTGCTGTGAGTTCATACGAGCTGTGTGTAGGTGCACGTGCCTGTGCGTTCGGAAAGGATCTCGTTAACTTGGGATGACTGGGCGTGAGTTGTTCTTGCGTATTTGTATGTTTGCGCAGTGTGCGTGCTTCAGTATTTGTACCAGTTCACCTGTGACGTATGCGCTGTTATAGCGTTCTGTGCTCAGCCTGTGCGTTATGTATAGCCATACACCTCCAGAAGTGAGTATTAGCAACTTAACAACACCATTTATAGTTCTGTACTTAATACAACGATGAACACATGAATATCGTTTGTATGGCTACAATGCATCGGCATGCAGCCTATATCGCAACCAGTCTGTGCTTCAGGACGCGGATTGTGCGTTTTATCTTATTAATGACTGCCACTTTAGCACAATGGGTAGAAAATTATAGGTGTGCTGTATAATACCCAGGATATCAAATCTGTTGAGAGTCTACGGCTCGTACACAATATATGGTGTGAACGTCTGGTACCTGCAACCTATATTGCTACCTATAACGCTTACCGTATGTGTATCTTGGCCAGGGCGGAGTGCACCTGAAGAACATCGGACTCATCTCGCCGTATAAAGCTCAAGTAACTAGTCTGCGCTCAATGGTGGCCGAAGAGTTCGGTGCAGATAGTGAGTATGTGGGTGTGTTTTGCATTCTTACGCCCTCTTTGCATATACACATGCTGAAGTTATAAATGATGATTTACATACACACATGCCGCAGTTATATACATGATGTTTTACATATACACATGCCGAAGTTATATACATGATGTTTACTTATGCCTACGTATGGAGAGCCCCATCCGGCTCGTCCACCATCTGGTACTAAGCTTGCTTTCTTGTTTCTTCCGCGCTTTGTGGTGGCCAGAGTGGATGTGCATACAATCGACAAGTATCAGGGGCGAGATAAGGACATCATCCTCTTCAGCATGGTGCGCTCCAACCCCGACAACGACGTAGGTTGCGCATACATGTCCTGAATGATGTCCCTTTATAGTCACAACAGACTTGAATTGTGTCGCTTCTGATCGTATCGTAAGGCGTAGTTGAGAACGTAGTTGGTCGCTATCACCGGCACTTGACGTATCCATTATCGTTCCGTGCAATGCCGTGGACTGAGTTCTGAGTCACATATTGCACCGTGTTCGGAAATGATGTGACAACTTTCTACGGTTTAGAGGTTAGGGTATAGGGTTTAAGGTTTAGGTGAACCGGTGTGGTGTATGGCTCATTCCCCTGTGTCGAGCTTTTATGTCGACATATACATCTGCCGATCTGAACACAAATTGTGGAAGTGTATTGTGTGGGGAAAAGGATGAGAAGTCAACTACTTGCACTGTATCTAATCAAACGCTTTGGCATTGGCCGCATCCTCTCCTCTCCCCAGACACTCTCCAAATAACAAAGGACGTGTACTAACTACCTTGCCCAAGATATTTAAGCACGCAGTCGCACCTGTACCCTTAGACACTATCTGCAGAACCATAGATGCAGCTCTCTCTCTCTCTCTCTCTCTCTCTCTCTCTCACTGTGTGTGTGTGTGTGTGTGCACCACGTATTGCACAGGATAGACACTTAATCATCGAATACTGGCGACGGAGGCCAATAAAAGGGCTTGCCACCGAATTGTGTGTGGTGATACTCTCTCACTGCCATCTGTTGTAGGGTTTAGGGTTTTAGCTAAAACCCTAGACCCTAT